GCAACTTAATATCTTAAGTTGGACCACTATATTTTGATGTGTTAGGAGAAGCTATTTTGTCATTCAAAATCAGTGAAATCTATTGTTACAAATCCAGCATGAAAAAACACAAATCAATAAATGTATCAGCTCTGCATTAGTCTTCAGTCTCCATCCTAACACCAGGACTGATTCAGTCTAACTCATAAATGCCTCTTACCTGACACAAAGTATTAAAGTAGCACTATTTGCTGAACACCTGTGGAAGTTATAAATTTCATTTTCTTCAGAGCTTATATTTATCACAGCTGTAGCTGGCAGACATCTATCGCTAGAAGCCAAGTTATTAGAAGGCTTTTAAAACAAAATAATACAAAAAATGATTTTACAGCATGCACAGATCTACCTGTACAGTGAGTTCTCCTCTGAACACAACACAGGCTTCAGGTTGGAGCACTGACATGAAAGTCACTTTGGAGAAAGAGTACCATGAAGTCCAGCATGAAAACCATGCAGACCAAATACCCTTCCACCCATTCAGAGTTTGGATTCTGACAGATTTCAAGAGAAGCCAGATGAAATTGCCCACTCAGCCTGCCACAAGGCTGGGTGCTGATACCTGGTGCCTTTCAGCACCTTTCACCCCAGCTGATTTTGAATCACTCATTATGGTGCCCATCAGGAATTGAGTTTGGCAACAATGATACTGGGGGACACTTGGGTCAAATTTTTTCCCACAAAAAATATAGCACTGATATTAGTGCCATTCTATATATGCTGCTGCTGCTTTCAGCTACAGGAATTTTCACCCCAGTTGAAACTCAGCCTGACTGGAAAACTGCTCCAAAGAGCCATGTGGTGTGTGGGCTCCATACAACTCCTGTCTCTCAGCAATCAAACAGAAAGACACAGAGAAGTTGTAAGAGGAAGCCAGACCTGGCAATTAGAAGGAACCAAACTCTGCCAGGCCTTCCAGGGATCCTCCTCAGTGCCAGAGCTCACCTGTGCTGGCTGACCCTGAGCCCTGGCGCAGGTGAAGGCACTGCCCTCATGCCAGCCCTGGCTGACAGCAGGAGTGGGGGCCTCTCCACACACCCTGCACGGCCCTGCAGCTTCCAGTAACAAGCTCTTTAAACAGCTCTGAAGATCTGAGCATGGCTCTGTTCTTAGAAACTCATCTGGCTTCACACGGTATTTTAAGCCAAGGACATCTTGACTCTACCAAGTGGAACTAAATCATCTGTACAGACAGATCATCTGTATGATGATCCTTGAGCCACGTCCCCATTCCTTATTCCCTTTATAAGCAAATGTTCAGTGAGCTCTAACACAAGTCACAGCCACCCATCTGAAATCACACCCATACTGGAAACAGCCAGGGTTCCCTCTGTCACTGCAATGTCAGTAAATAAGTGTCCTGCCCTGCAAACAAGTGCATTCACCCGGAAGGAGAGCACTGAAACTAGAGCTGATTTACAACAGAAAGCAAACAAAAACATCATTCAGAGGAAACGCTTGGTCAAGTCCACATTTTAGAAAATTTCCCATTAAAATTTTGCTCTAGAATAACAAAATGGTAGAAAAATAAAACAAAACCAAATAAAATAATTTCCATGAAAAGTCTGCATTGCTTTTACTGCGAGGGAAGGGGGCAAATCAGCTGCCCTGGCTGGTCCCCACTCCACAGAGCAGCACAGGCTGGGAAAGGCCCCTGTCCCTGCAGGACCCCACACCTGCAGAGAAGAGCCACGGTGCCCTCCCTGTGCAGGGACCTGTGCCTGAACAGGGGAGACTCAGCTGCTGGAACACAAACCCAGGGCTGAGACTGCTGCACAAACACTGTGTAACTACACGTGCCTGGCTGACAGTTTCAAACATAATTCAAAGCAAAAGTCAGTTAGGATTTTTTTGTGGTTGTTGATTTGAAAATACTGTATTTGATAATGTATTTTGGATACTTAAGGCTATCCAGGTATCCTTCTGAACATCAAATATGAGACAGAGATTCTTCTAGAAAGGACTTTATTTTATCTTTAACCTTACACAGAATTTCTGACAAAAAATCTGCAGTTGTCTCCCCCCTCTCAACAAATGTAGTCATTCCTCACTACGAGAGGCTCCTGTGATCAGATGCCCTCCAAGTTACCCTTTCCAACTATCCAAAAGGTGTTATCCTTTTAATGGATTCTTTTCATCCAGCCATCAAAAGGTTTTGGATTTTTCATCACAATTAAAAAAGAAAGTTATATGAACTTAAGAGTTCAAATTAAAGAGTTCAATTATCAGTTATTAGTTCAGTAGATTTAAACTTCCTCACAGGTTTTATGTCACTGTGATGTTTTCCCTCTGTCACAACTCTACCCTTCCTCTCAAATCCTGCCCTTAGAGTTATCATATACTATAGGTTCTCCAACACAAACTAGGGTTTTTTCATTAAATACTCTAAGTTCATACAGTTTATAGTCCCCTCAGTATGACTTTTTTAATAAAGACAAAAGTTTGTGTTGGAGCAGCAGCAGATAAAACTGGTTAGAAATGCAGCTGCACCAATCTGAATAAAGGAGAAATAAAAATATGTGCATTTTTTAAAAACAACAATAATTACACTTAACTCACCATCAGGATAGGGTTGTGAATTAATAGGGTTGTGAATTAGAGTTTAGCTGCCTTTATTGATCCAATATAAACATTAAGAGCAAGCTGTGCTATGCAGGGGAGGGAAAAGGAAATGATTTGGGCATGTTTTAAATCCCCCGATTCATCTTTCTGGGCACAAGACAGAGTGAGTCTAAGCTGCTGTGTAGGCAGCAAGGAGATGGAGGTGGGCTGAGCTGGCTCAGCATTGGGTGTGTCCTGTCAACAGCAGTTTGAAAAGGGATGCACCAAAGCTAATACATCATAAGTCTTCGGGGCCATCTCGTAGAAGTCACGGTGCCTGCAGAACATGCCTTCAGCCACATGCTTGCTGGGCTACCAAACTCTTTTGTGTGCCTAAAAGTATGGTACAAAATGCCAGAGTTGTACAGCTCTGAAACTTCCTTTTGGGCAACTTCACAAAGTCAAACATGACTTTAACTAAAAAAAACAGTAAATATATACTGATGTTCATAATTTGAGGTAAAGGGGTGTAGCTCTGGAAGAGTTCACTACACCAGCAACAGATACAATGAGGACTGAGGCTTAGCCACATTAGAAACAAACATTATCAGATCAACTAGGAGATAGATACCAATCTACCTTAATCTGCACTGATCGGTGTAAAAATGGGTAACATCAATTGTGGATCAAAGCTGTTCATCTAAAGGAACTACAGAGAGCATGTCAGCATCCTAAGGACCCACAGAAGTGTACATATCAGAGTAGAGGAAAAAGGAACTTCACACATTTGCAACACTTTTTGAGTTCTCTGAAAAGTAAATTAACAATTACTTCTAATATTTCCTTCAGCACATCTTTGGAAGGGTCTTTATTGCTGCAAAACAGGCATTTTGCCTCTGTGTAATGAGGCAAAGCACAGAAGCCACGGAATGCGGTCCAGCAAGGGGTTCTCTCAGTCCCCAGAAGCAACTCAGTGACAGCAACATATGCTCTTCCAGCTGAAGCCCTGCACAGATGCACTTCCCACTGCTTTCACTTCAAAATTTAGTATCAGGCTCTAGACTGCAGGATAGACCTCATCTCAGTTTATTAGCTGCAAAAAATCACCAGTAACTATCACCCTTTTCTCCTTCCAAACCTATCAGCATGAAGGGAAGAGGAATAAAAATATGAGAACCAGGTAGAATCCCTCCACTATGAAAGAAGCTTCCTCATTCCTTTCCCAAGTCTCTTACTTTGCATCCCTCTTGGAGTTGGGAAAGGGACTCAGCATGATGAGTTAAGGACTGAAGGAAGGTAAAACATACACAGAGCAGTAATGACACCTTCCAGCAAAGAGAAATCTCTGCACACTGACTGTAAGACACTGTAAGCCATGGCATTACTCCTGCTTAACCGTGTGCATTGTATTACACGTGACTACTTACACAGAAGACAATAAAAGCTGTACTCAAGAGACACTTAAAAAATACAGGTAATAATCTTCCTTTCACTTTGTCTTCTGAAATGTAGCAAGGATAAGTAGATGGGCCTAAATCCTGTACTTTCAAATTTTCAAGTGCCTCCGCTGGGAGGAGACACATCAAACAGAACGGCCTCAGAATCACAAAGACAGCTCAGCTGTTCCTCTGTGCACAAATCCTTTTTGGTCTTTGAAGTTTTGTGAAAAGTAACTTTTAAAAATGTAATTTAAAACAAAAAGACAAACTAAATTCCTGAGAATCCAAAAGCATATTTGAAAAATTAATTATTTACCTCATATGAGGCAGTGGGCCCAGCTCTTGTGTACAAAGAGACAAACAAAACAAATATTTTACAAACCATGTTCTCTGACTGAGACTTTATCATCCAAGGATTAGGACTCCAGAGGGGTGGCAGAGCACTATTAGAGCTGCTGCTGCTTTGTGTTACAAGACAATCAGTCCAACATGCAGCTGGAGAAGTCCATAGCACAGGTATCCTTCACACAGTCACCATCCCAGCCATATAATTAGAAAATCCAAATTTGACAGAGAGTCCTAATGTGAATGTATAAACACTACAAGTTAGGTGCCAACCTGGTTTAAAAAAACCCCTCCATTTACTGAAATGGAGCCATACTGAGCCTTTGTCATCACAAGTAAATACAGAAAAAAAGAATTTAGTTAACAGCATAGTAGCTGAATAGTGTTGCACCACTATACTGAGCTGATGGTATACTAGTCAAATTAGGACTTACATGCTTTCATTCCTGTAAAATATAAGAAATACTGATGTGAGATTATCTAATTGTCTACCCATGAATAAATGTAGCACACAAATAGAGGAAAATGAGCAAGAATCAAACCAGTCAAATCCCCATGGCTTCCACTGAGTAAAAATCAGATCTGCCTTTCCAAAACACAATCTGTATAATCATGCAAAACCAAGTTGTCTTCCCTTACCTTCTGCAAAAGGTTCCCATTCATAAAATCGACCCATAAATGGCTTGTTATTGTATGATGCACATTGCACCTCTCTAATATTTCTGCTGCTTTCAGGACACATCTGTTTAGATAAAAAAAAGTCACATTATAATCAACACCAAAGTTATTATTGCCTTCCTATTAATTAACTTTAGAAGGTTAATGAAGGCATTGCAAAATTCTAATCCAGATGAATATCAGGAGACTCCTTGTCTTTAAAACAGTGTACTTTTAAGTAACAGTATCAAAAGTGCCTGTAGAAGAAAATGAATTTGTACAGTAAATGGAGTAACGGTTCTATTTAAAAAAAAAAAAAAAAAAGTAAGGCTTTTATTAAGCTGTTGTTTTCCTCGGCAACAAGAAAACATTTCAAGATGAAGTCAATAAATTAGATGAGAATTATTTCCTTTCCATAACAGCCTCATATTTTTCATCATTAATTTTTTGGGCTCAGATTCAACAGAGTTGAAACACTTAACATACGTGCTTCCTTAACTTTCTGAAAGCTGTCCACACCAGCTTCTCATTCTCATCCTATGCTTCAATACCATGCTACCGCTTTTCCTTTTGTATCTCCATATGCTGGTATTACAGTCATTGCATGACTTTGCTTTTTAACTCATGCCTTCAAGTCCTCACTTCAGAGTTCTTGCACCTGAAGAGGAGGAAGAGCTTCTCATATACAAGAACACGTGTGTCCACATACAGGTATTGAGGCAGGGCAAGTTCTACAGATGGAATGAACATCCTTTATGAGGTCATCTGCAATGCAAGCCTTTGGCACACCAGCCCTGTTTACATTTGAAGCAGATTACAGAAGTAAATACAAGTTAAATAGTTAAATACTTAATTACTTTGTTCTGCCTGTGTCCTCACATTACTGCAGTTACAGCAGAAGACTTCTCTGTGTGTGGGCACACACAAAGGGGAGAAAGACTTCTAGAAAAGGCAGGGGGTTAATTAGAACAATTTCTATTCTTGGAGAAATAGGCAAGCTTTGGGTACAGCTGCATTTTTGGGATACTTTTTAGATAATCAAAATGACTACTCAAAACACTATTCAAGAACAGTAGAAATCACACAAAAAACTGGACTGGAACACCACAATTTTTTTCTATATTACCCCTAGAGAGTTCAAGGGAAAGCTAGAGCTGATGATATTCTGTGAAAGCAGCATGGCTAAATAACTGTGTTTTTGCAGGGAACTGCAAGAGAATCCATAAGAACAGCTCTTGTTGCAACTGCAAGTCAGTTCTTTTATATTTGTATAGTGGGAAAGATGGGTTGTCTTTGCAGGGAAAGCCATCACAGAAGAGGTCCCAGAGGAGTTCTTGCTTTGTATCCACCATCTCTGTAAGATGCTTTTAAGTGGATCAAAGAGACGTCAGAGTCAAAGGTTTTCAAGTGGGCTATAAAATGTACCAAAGAGTTGCCTTGGGGGAAGGTTCAGGGACTACTTTATCGTCTATTAGAATCATGGTAGCAAATCTTTTAGAATAAATACTGTCTCTGGCCAAGCAGCCATCTGTGCTTTGTTCGCCCACTCTTCTGAGATCTCCAAGTACATGCAAATAGTGTTGTCTTCAACAAACCCTCAAATAAAATTTAAAAAAAAAAAGAAACAAACAAACAAACAAACAAAAAACAAAACACCAATCAAAAAGCCTTCCTTGAAAATAGGACCATAGCCACCACATTGGAAAGTGGGACCAAAAGTCCTTCTAATGCCAACTGCAGAAAGCTTTATTCCCACAACTGAAATCCAGACCTTCCATGTGTGGCACAGCATTGCAGCACAATAATTCAGCCACAACCACCAAACAAGGTGAGAAAGCTTCCATTTTTCATGGAAACCCATTATTGCACATATCCTAAAGGTGAAGGGACAGAACCTGAGCTGGCATAAATTAAGGTCACTACACGGAATCACAGCAGAACAAACATCAGCAAAGAACCCAGCCTGAAGGGTTTCTATTTGGAATGCTTTCCCCTTTTTTTGGTACATGTTTGCTACCAGCCTATTGTGAAGTTTAGTTATTTCTTGTTTTTCCTTTTCTGACCCTTGAGCTCATGGCCTTGTGTACCAGTATTTCTGGCTCATAAACCATTTCCTGTACACCCTGCTCATACCAACTGCAGGCAATGTATGAATAAAAATATCAAAATATTCATGGCTGTTGCCAACAAATAGTAACATCCATCCCTTCTAAGATCATTTTCATATAGCTACAATTTCTGTTTTTACACTTACTGACAGTTGCCCAAAGGACAGAGGCCCCATTGCTTTAAAGAAGAACAAAGGACTGACGAATACACTAAACGCTGTGGATCAAGCCAAAATCAGAAGAGGTTTACTCAGTAACATCCCTGCTACTTTAGGAGTCCCAACGCAATTACCCTTCCCTATTTCATTCATCAAGGTTTAATTACAATATGAAATTTTGAGTCAAAATTTCAGAGAGTGACCTGGTCTGCAAAAACACTGCTTTATTCTTTATATGGATTATAATAATTTCTATATTTAGATGTCTTCTAAAGTATTTTATTAAAGAGTTAATTATGAAGTACAAATAACCAAAATTACTACAATTTATGAATCACCGAGGCTTAAGTGTTATATTATACTCTAGACATAGTTAACATCTATGCACCATTTACTAACCCCACTTAAATTGTTAATGCATAGCTGAATGAAATGACAGTTTTATGCTGCCTGCTGTTCAGTCCCCCTGAAAATGAAATCCTTGAACCTTTCTCAGAAGACCTAAGAGCGGCAGACATTCTCTCTTGGTCTCTCTGCCTTTTTAGCACATCTTTAAGGCAGAAAATCAGTAAAAGGGAAAAGAATGACCCTGCACAATCAAAAGTGAAGCTTCACTGGGAGGGAGGGGCGGTTTCCATAGATCCCCCCTTTTTATTTATTCCCTGAGAGCATGACCTCTTTTTACACTTCTATTTAATTACTAATTCTGCCATATGTAGCTTGACCATAAAACTCCTAAAATAGAAGTGAGAAGATGGCAACCCCAAAGAAAGCTCATGTTTATGAAGTCTACCAGTTGGTCCTTACAGAGTCCACCGTTTGCTTCCCAGCTCACACCCAGGGCTGTGACAACTGGAAGATGACCGAGGACAAAGCTGGGCTTACCACCAGCCCTGGAGGCTACAGGGGGATCCAGTCACGTCTGGGCTGGGCTCAGCTCAGCTCGGGTGTGCCTGGCACAGAGCCCCTGCCCAGCACAGGGCAGTTGGTTGAAAAAGCAGGCACGTTGGCATGTTTGCAGATGAAGAATGTTCCTGTGGCTAAGCCAGAGTACTGGGATTTAAACAACCCAGAACTCTTTCCAAAATTTCCCAGAGACTTTCGGAATTAACTTCGCTAAAATATTTAACTCGCTGTGTGACTCCCCCTCAGTTCCCTCTCAGTGACATGAGGGTGTTAGGGTTGTGCTGCCTGGTAGGGACTTGAAAACAATTTTTTTGGTAAATGAAATCAAATTACTTCAGTGTTTTGTTAATGACAGATCTAGAATTTAATTTTTTGCCTCAAACACTTCATCTTGTGATTTTTGAGGGAGTCATCTAAAGTTTTTTATAGATGTTTGGATACAGAAAGGATGACCTCTTTGAATTTTGTAAAAAAAGAAATAAAACTTCCTTTGTAACCCACATTTGTGGAAGCCAGAGCAGTAAAAAACATACTTTGAATCTACTAAGATAAATCTCAGATTCCTTTGTGTAGAGGCAGATATAAGTTGTCTAGAAATATATACTCTCTGGTGGGAGAGGGTTTTTTTAATCATTGTTCTTTCAGTTGTGCTCTGTAAAATGAGATACAGCATCTAGAATTCATAACTTTGTATGGTTTTAAATGATGTTTCTCCTACTTAAAATACGCTGCCTGGGCAAACCAATGCTGTAATTTTAACATGTGGGACTGCATTCAGCAAAGTACCTTCAAAGTGCTGGACATTTTCATACAAGGTAAAGATGCTTTCAGAGCTTCCACTGCTGCATTTTCAACGACCAGGACACCTCAGCCAACTTTTCTTCCTGAACTTTCAGAATGTGAAATTAGCACCAGCAGCAGCACAGCACTGCAGTGATGAGCCAGGCAGTGCTTAACACAAATAATTTTAGAAGTATCCCTTTGTGTTTTGGGACCTCAGACCTAATTTCTTGAAATGCACCGAGCCTGCTGTTGATTGTAACTTTGTACTTCTGGAACAGTAGTTTTATTTATGCCTCAATGTCTTCTGAAATATGCAGGTATGAAAGTATTCTGAGGGACAGCAAAACACAGTACTTCTCTTTATCATGTACCATTAGAGCTTTCTTTAAAAGAGCTGCTAGTACAGCTAAGACTGTAAAACAAAGAAACCACGCTACTTGCCTTTTAGCTTTTGGGAAACATTCAAAAAGCGTAGGTTTTTAACAAATCTTTGACACTTTGGTTAATTAAAGAAGTGCTGGCAGAAAATTATCAGTCTGCCAGCAAATGTGGGCCCACATCTGCCATCAGCAAACCTGTGTCAGTGCTGGGCTGAGATAATGCACTGCTGGAAATGTATAAAAGGGCCTTTTTGGTCCTGAAACCACCTCTACAGGCAATTAAAACCTTGACTAAGAATTTTGGCAATGTTTTGTCCTTATAACCTACAGTAACTGGCAAACTCTTTTTCCAAGGCCCCGTGCTCCTTCTTGATTCTCCAGGCTCAGGCATAATTCATAATTAGTATTTTCTATGTGTGCAATGCTACATATTAAATTAACTCCAAGAAATTTAATTGTACTCCAGTTTTCATTTCTGTAGTGCTTCTATAGGATCATATTAATCCTTTGACATCCCAAAGGATAAATACATCTCCAAAGAAAAATAATTAAAATACTTGTTTCTGAAATAGTAATCTGAAGATTCCTCTTCCATTTTCAGCGCTTACTCTTGGAAGTAGCATTATTCTATAAATTCCAGGTCTTTGCACAACAACCTACCATGCCTGCAGTGATCTTCTGCTCTGAACTGACAGTGACTTGTTCTTCCTGAGGCTTACAGAAGGGCAATGTGGGGTCCTTCAAATATTA